CTTCTCTCATCCCTTCCCGCCCTCCCCCTCCTCTCCTTTCCCTTTCCCTCTCCCTCTCCTCTCCCTCTTCTCTCTCCTCTCTCTCCCTCTCCTCTCCCTCCTCCTCCTCTCCCTCTCCCCTTCTCTCCTCTTTCTCCCTCTCCCTCTCCCTTCCCTCTCCCTCTCTCCTCTCTCTCTCTCTCTCTCTCTCTCTCTCTCTCTCTCTCTCTCTCTCTCTCTCTCTCTCTCTCTCTCTCTCTCTCTCTCTCTCTCTCTCTCTCTCTCTCTCTCTCTCTCTCTCTCCCTCTCCCTCTCTCTCCTCTCTCCCTCTCTCCCTCTCTCTCTCTCTCCTCTCCCTCTCTCCCTTCCCAATCTCTTTCTCTCCCTCTCCTCTTCTTGTATGTGTTTGGGGAGGTCATGTGTGTATGTGCTTGCTAGAGAGGTGAGAACTGGGATAACTTGATTTCTTCACAATGGAATGACTGGTTTTTATTTTTCTATTAGAATCATGGTCAGATAGTATCAAGAAATGATGATTGTGTGTAAAAGACAGCCTGTCGAAAAATGTTTTAGTAGAATGCGAGTCTTAAATACAATATTTTCAAAGTAATTTTAGGCATTATATATATTGTTTGAACTTGTGTTCTACAGGGTTCTGAGTACAAGCTTTGCCTTCTCTGTATCTGCCATAATGCCTCTCCCAAAAGAATTTAGTCCAAGTTAGACTTTGTCTTGATTATTTATGGTATGTGCTAGGTATTACAAAATTACAAAATGTTTCCATGTGAGTTGATTGTATACAGTTACTTCTAATCATTACATTGCCAGTCATCTAAGTTATGTGAAATTTATTCTAAGCTGAATTGATCTCATCAGTTAAGTCTAAAGAGCTTTGCTTAAGAATAGATTATGCTTTTGTTTGGGTCTGGTAATGTGCTTGTAATATATAGTCTTATATCTAAATATAAGAAAATAAAGGAAATTGGAAGGAAAGAAAACAGATCATGTAAGCAAAAGTATTTTATTGCATCTGTTCTTAAAGTGATGTGTCTGTATGATGTACACTTACAGTGAAGTACCTTGGACTCCTGGCCATGTCAAAGATTCTCAAAACGCACCCCAAGTCTGTGCAAGCCCACAAAGATTTGGTCCTACAGTGTTTGGATGACAAGGATGAGTCCATACGCCTACGAGCCCTCGATCTCCTCTATGGCATGGTTGGTTTCAGTATTTTGTGAATTGTCATGTTAGGCAGTATATGGGTGTGCCTTATTATGTATTGAAAGAGATTTGTATTTTTTGTAATGCTTTGGGTATTTTTGTGAGAAAGTGTCAACTGGCAGTTTGATTATCCTTGTCAGTTATTGCTTTATTCCAATGTTTCCTTACTTCCCTCATTCTAGGTGAGCAAGAAGACTGTCATGGAGATTGTCCGTCGTCTTATGACCCATATGGATCGTGCTGAGGGAACCATGTATAGAGATGAACTCTTACAAAAAATTATTCTCATTTGCTCACAGAATAATTACCAGTATATTACCAACTTTGAATGGTAAGATTTCAGATTTTCCTTCCCTTGCTTCTTCCTATACATTTGTTTGATCTTTACTTTTGATGTTAAGTTTATTTTATATTCAGTTCCATTTCTTGAATACTAGATATTGTACATGAGAATTCAGATACAATAGAATATGTACTCATTTCATTCATCCACCTTCTCCAGGTACATCAGTGTTCTAGTAGAGCTTTGCCGAATGGAGGGCACACAGCATGGTGGCTTAATTGCTAACCAGCTGATGGATGTGGCTATCAGAGTGGTTGCTGTTAGAGAATTTACTGTTGGCCAGATGGCACTGCTGCTGGACAATGCCCATGTCATAGTTGGTCCTGCAGCAGCTAGATCATCCATAGCAGAAGTTTTGTATGCCGCTGCCTGGATCTGCGGAGAGTTTTCACAGTAAGTTTGAATGTGGATAGGTTTTGTGTAAAGAGCTTGGAAGGTATATTTGTTTAATTATATAGCTTGGTGATTGAGTGTGGAATATTTTGATAATCAAATTAGATACTGGAATATATGTCATTACCAAAATGATAGTGATGAATGAAAAAAATCATACATATGCTCATTATTGTGAAATGATTACAGATTACTAGCCAATCCAAAGGCTACTCTAGAATCAATGGTTCGTGGTAAAGTTGTGTCTCTGCCAGGCCACATACAAGCTATCTATGTACACAACATGCTCAAGCTTTACGCGCATATCATATCTACTGCCGAAGAGGAGGAGGATTCAGAGATGATAGAGGAGGTAAGACACCGTTAATGCTAAAAGTTCTTGAAAACGTTTATGAGCATTTCTTATTTTGTGTATATTTTTTAACACTAATATTTTCATTAGAACAATTAAAAGCAAAGAATAAAGCAGCAAAGGAAGTTCAGTACTTAAGATCCTTTTTTAGATAGAAATAAAAGGAATCAAATCTTTCCATTTTCAGGTTACGAGTCTGCTTCTTGAGAGGTTACCTGTGTTTGTGTCATCTGGGGATCTAGAGGTGCAGGAGCGTGCATCTTGTATCCTGCAGCTTGTCAACTATGTCCAAAAGTGCCACAAGAATGGAGATAAGATAGGTTCTGATCTGACTCTCTTGCTAACAGGGGAACTGAATCCTGTTGCTCCAAAGGCCCAGAAGAAGGTTCCACTACCAGAAGGGTTGGTATTGCATGTAATTCCATGTCTTTTTGTAGAGCTTTGATATATTAAGATTTAAACTGTGAAAGTTTTGAATGTATGTGTATAATTAGCATGTATAGATATAAGTAGATACACATACAAAAAAACACAAACTCAAAAGGAAAGAAAAAAAAGAAAAAATTTCCACCCAATTTATAACATTATGTGTATCCTACCATCCATTAGACTAGATCTTGATGTCTGGATTAATGATCCACCATCTGAGAGTGAGGAAGAGGAAAAGGATGATGTTTTCAAGAAGGAAATATTCGTGAAAAATGACCCTTCATCCAAAGAACGAAAGAAGGAGAAATACGAGCCAACGGAAGAAGAGCTCCAGAAGGTCAGTAGGTGTTAGCGTTCCTCAGCTGAATGGGCTGATTAATCTGTTCTTTTATTTCAACGTCTTGAGAGGGAAGAAAGTCATTTATATGTCAAGGCAGTGGAAGATGGTTAATTTTTTTAATGTCAGTCCAATGTTTTGTCATTTATATGATTGACCTGAATATATGTCTATGTAACATAATAGTTCAGTAATTATTATAACTGCTTCAACTTAGATCTGATTTTTCTGTTTTATCCATAGCGACGGGATGCAAGAAGGGCTGAGCAGGCAAGCAATCCTTATTATGTCAAGTCACATTCATCCCCGAGGCCAAACCATAACAGCTTGCAAGTGGACGAAATCCCCGTGGCTGCTCTTGATCTAAATGTTTCTCTCAAGATACCAGGTTGGTGGAAACAAATTATGTGTGTGTGTGTGTTTATTTTGCTTTCCTGTCAGCTGGTCTTGAGAGGGAGAAAAGGAGTGGATTTGACAAAATGATGCATTAACTATTGAGAGTAGAGGAGAGATTGTAGTGTCAGTAGTATGATTGATATTCAGTTATGATTTTGTAATATCCAAGTAGATATTAGTTTGTCTCTATTATAGCTAGGTCTGCTTACCATAATATGATTTTATGTTGCATTTTTCTTATTCATGTTGAATGAAAGTAATGTTTTCTTATCTAATTTCCATACTAACCCCAGGCTGCCGGGCATAGCATGTACATACATGCCATTACCCATTATGTGTGTTGAATTTAGTAATTGTTTTTACAAATAGATGGCTCCAGAAGTACTAAGTTACCAGTGAGCCAATTACGCAAACTACCTGTCTCACCTGTTTACCCTTTTCCTTGATTTTCAATAATTATTTTTTGACATTTAATACTGTTGTTAGTAATGTCAGTAAGAATATAGTAATTATAATGTGTATAACAAAAATAAGTGTCAATGTTGATAGTATTAGTAAAAAAAAAAAAAGTTTTCCTGCATTTTCAAGGAAAAGTGAGGTCTTAAGATCTACTAATTGACTCCTTTGTGGCTAAGCATTGGTAGAGCCATCTATGTGCAGAAACATTTAACCAAGTATTGCCAAAGTGAACGCCCTATTTACCCGTCAACATTGGCTTAAGCTGGAGTATACAGGATATGAATTATATTTTTTCTTCTTCTTTTTTTTTTATTTCCAATATTTGATTATTTCATATATATGTATATATACTTTTTTATTTGAACAGGTATGGCCTCCTTAGATAAGTATCAATTTGTGGAGGGAAGGCAGGAGAGTGGTAAAAAACGTGATAAGAAGCACAAGAAACGCAGCAAGAAGAGAGGTGTTGCATCTTCAAGTAGTGATGAGGTGAGGCCTATTAAAGGGCTTATTTTTGTTGTAAGGAATGTACCATTTTATATGCTTGTATTTCAGTTTTCTTTATCTAATTATTATTCGTTTCATGAATATTGTTATTAGTATTCACTAGATAAATTTGAAGACTACATTAGATTTATTTTTAAAGGTTTAACTACAAATTCCTAAGTAACACAAGACCTTGTGTTCCCCCCTTAAGGATGTGCCTCGAACTCATGTAGTAAACACAGATGTAGGTGAGATGCCTGAAGGTGCTAACTTCTCTGATGAAAATGAACCTGATGATCGGCCAGAGGATGATCCACACAGAGCACTGGACATAAATCTCGATGAGTGAGTGGACAGCCCTATTTGTCTATTCATGTCTACATGTTTTCTTCTTGCTGCCTATTTTTTAAAAATATATATGTTCTAGCATTGTTTAACCCACTCACGCCGGGTACATTTTGTAGCCAAAATTTAAAACCGGTTTAGCTTATTATTTGAGATTGTTTATTTTTCCCTGTGTCTCATATATGTGACACCCGGGGCGAATGGGTTAAACGGATTAGTTATTAACTATTGAGAATGATCTTCATGTCTGCTTGTTTATT